TGCCACTTGAGGGGTGACAACTTAACTACTACTCTATGTTACCATATTCTCTTCCCCATATATAATTTCTAAGATTAATTAATCAATCAAAAATTAGAATCTATATAATATAAAAAATTTTAAAACAAATATTTGCTTTATAAAAATAGTGTTTATTTCAAAAATTAGACTAGTAAATTATCTTTTGGATTCTAACAAAAAATTTTTCATACAATTTTACTATAAAAATAATCTTTTTAATTCTAATATATACTTAAATCCTAATATAAGTAAATTTGTTTATTTAAAAACAATTAACTTTGGATGCTTATATAAACAAAAAATCACTATTAATTTTTAGTATTACTAATTGAAAAAATTTTATTAAAAAAATTTTGCTATTAAATTAGATATTAAGTTAGATTATAAAAAGCTTTATAGTACCAAATTTTTATAAAAAAACTTTTTGTTAGTATACAGAAGATAGTTTTATAGATAAAATATTAAATTATAAGTAATTTTTTGGTTTGATTTAATTTTTTATATTTTTTCTATATTATATCTGATCTTTAAAATAATTGGCCAGTAAAATTTTTTAGAAATTAGTAATAATATGTATAAGCATATTACTAGTAATATTATATATATACCTATATTACAGTATTTTATTTATTTAATATATTAATCATTCAATTACAATATTTTATATTATTATTAATATATATATAATAATATATCTGACTACTTTTTTTTCACTTTGGCTATCTTGCTAGTGATTCTTTATTAAGATTATTGTATTACAGGTGTGATACAATATTGAGCTTAATATCTAGATCTGATATTTTGCAATTACTTACAAATGATTAGCTATACTAGGCCAATCTTTCTATAAGGGATATTGATAATTTAAATCATATAACCTAAATCAAATAATCTAAATTAACTCTAGAATACTTATATCAGACCACTACCCTACAATAGAATATCACTAATCTGATAATATCTTCTTGTAGAGAAGTGAAAAAAATAAAAAAAGATATTAACACTAATATTAATACTAAAAGGAAAAGAAAAAAGAGACAAAAACTAATACTAAAAACAAAAATAGAGATGAAAAATGAGGAGAAAAAAGAAAAAAAAATCTGGCAATTATGATTATAGGCTTGTGTCAGGTCTTAAAAAATTATATATTACAAGATAAAAAAGTTTGTATCTAACTCTATCTTAATAATATATGTATCTAAAAAAACTTTATGATTAGGGTTTAAAAAAAAGTTAGCTAAATTAAAAAAACTAGACAGAATAGCTCAAGATACAAAATAAAAGTCTCAAAGTATTGTTTAATGATTTTTTCAGTTCGAGGCATATTACCTATTTGTGTTGTTATATAATCTGTATATGGTTGCTTATTCTAGATGTCTGCTTATTTATTCTATTTTGATAATTCTATTTATTTACGTAAACAGGTAAACAATACTAACTATTTTGAAAATTTACATGTCAATTTTTAGAAGAGAATAACCACTTTTTAACAAAATTTTCTTGAAAAAAAAGTGGTAGGTCAACAAGGATTTTATGTAATTGTTTCTTGTAAATTTTATAGTTATATAGTTGACCCAAAGCTTGAAATACTTCTGATATTATTCTAGATATTTTGTGTTTCTAAAATATTCTTCTGGTTTAGATATTACCGTAAAAGTATATATACAAGACCTACCAAAATAGTAGACTCACCATAAATCAGATCCGGGTCTATAACCTGGATAAAAATTTTGGTAATATGAAATAGACCCAGATATATAATAGGAAATAATGATTAGAAGACTCAGTATAATATTAGAACATTATATATATTACATAAATTCTATAAGTTTTTGACTTCTCCACATAAAAGCCTTCCCCGATTATTAGACCAATGTCTATACAACAGATCCCCAGGTCTATTAAAGGTTTTAAAATTAGTAGAATATACCAGACCCAGGTCTTGTATATGTACTTTTACGGTAAATATAATAGAAGAGTCTACTAGAAGAAGAGCTTGACCTCTACAAAATCCAATTCAAAATAGACTGTGCTTTGGTTTTATACTCTTGATATTTTGTTAATAATATACCTACTTGTGTAGAACCAATTTTATTAATAATTGTGGCAGCTTATGCTGAAATCGGCTTACGCCGTATTTTATTATAAAATTACTTAAGTTTATTATTTACTTTGTGTCTTCTATAATATTTTTCTATAGTTTAGTTTTTTTGAATTTGTTAACCAGATGATCATCAGAAAGAGTTAAATATATCTGACTACTACAAGTAGAACAATAAACTTTTTAACAAGTATTTTTTCAATAATTCTTAGTATAATATATAGCCTTTCTAAAAATTTTTTAAATATTTTTTAACTTTTTATATTATATGTAAAAGAGATTCAGAACAAATTTTGATAATAAAGAAAATATTTGAAAAGTTGTATACCACACTAAATATTTTTATTATTCTACCTGTATACTATAATCTATATTCTAATTAAATAGTAATAATACTTTATATGATAAATAAATTACTTCTCTTTTATATATGCCTATTAAAATATAAATAAATTAGTTAACTGATAATATTAAATTTTAATTAATGATTTATCACTCAACCAGAAAGAGCTTATAGTATAATATAATATAGTTTATATATAGAAATTAAAGTTTTTAGAATATGAGCTGTTTTTATTTAAAACTTGTTTTTGTATTAAGTTAATACCTTTGGGCCTCTAATTGAAGTTGTATAGCTTATTAAAACAAATCTAATTGTAGTTAAATCATCAAAATCAGTTTGGTAAATTATGAGATATCTTTAAAAAATATTTTGCTAACTATATAAACTTCTTTTTTAATAATAGTATTGTTAAAAGAGAAATTTACATAATTGACAAAATGTTTTTCAAAGATATCTTGTAATTTACTAGGCTGATTTTAATAATTTAACTATTATTAGATTCATTTTGACAAGCTCTACAACTTCAATTAAAGGCCCAAAAATAATTAACTTAATACAAAAAAAATTTTAAATAGAAACAGCTTATATTCTAAAAACTCTAATTTCTATATGTAAACCACTATAAGCTCTCTCTGGTTGAGTAGTGAATCACTAATTAAATTATAAAAATAAGACTGTTTACTGCTAATTTAAATTATTACTATTATCTTTATTGATATTTGGTTTAACTATTATAAGCTTACCAAAATCATATTAACTATATTTATATTATTCTGTTTATTAAAACTTATAAAGAATAAAAAATATATATTCAGAAGCAAGTAAAGCAATTAAAAAGTCTTTAGAGAAATCATCTACAAAGACTTACTGGATCTTTCAAAACTTTAATTAGCTTTATATATTTTAGATCAAAAATTGATTATTTTCAATCATTTTGACCAATCAAAATTTAAGATCAGATGTCAAAACAAACATAATTTGTTTTCTAATAGTCACACAATTTAATACACAAATCATGTGTATAAAATTTTTAATATAGAGTCAAATAATTGATATATCTAAATTTTATATGTAAAGTTTAGGCAAATTTTGTTTTTTAGGCTTATTTAACAATAAAGAAGTTGTTTATTTATTTTCTTGGCATTATTTTGCAAATTTTCTAGTATTTAAAGATTCTTCTTATGAAATTTTAAAGGTGATTAATAATAAAATTGTGAAGAATTATAATTACAAAGTTAAACAATTTTTTATATTTTTTACTCTTTGTTTATACAGTATGTAATATATATTATTTATCCAAAATAGATAATAGATAAGTATCAATTAATAGACATTTTTATATTACTTAGGCTACTCCAAATTGATTCTTTGTTTAATATAATATTAAATAATTTATGAAAGTAGAGGAAGAGCATAAAAAATACACAAATTAAAAAAAACAACAATTTTATTGGTTAATTTAATATGTGTTAGTTATATAAAATTTAAAAAATTGAGAGGGAGTAAATACTATTAATTACTATTAATGAGTATTGGGTTCATATAAATTTTAAAAAATAGAGGGGGTTATGTTAAATGAAGAATTAAATTGGTCTGGCCTTATTTTGAATAAATAATATACATCACTTGCTATTTCATATAAATAAACAGCAAAAACTATAAAAAAATTACCCAACTTCGTAATCATGATTCTGCTCAATTTTATTATTAACCGCCTTTAAAATTTCATAAAAAAAACCTTCAAATGCTAGAGAATTTGCAAAATGATACCAAGAAAATAAGTAGACAACCTTTTTGTTGGACAACCTTTTTGTTGTGAAATTTTCCTAAATTTTACATATGAAATTTAGGTGCGTCGATCATTTGACCTCATTAAAAATTTTACCGTGTGACTGCTAAGTAAAAAGTTACGCGTAAAATAAAAACCAAGAAAACCATGTTATAATTAGGCCGCAGAAGGTAATTTCCTAATTAAAATTTAAATTCGATTGGTCAAAATTACAAGGGGTGAACAACTTTTTGTAGGGGCGTCGCTTAATGCAGTGTTGGGAAATTGGACAAAAAACTGCGCCACATTTAGTTTTGGAAATGTGTCCAATTGGTTTTGAAAACAATTGATCTTCCCAACGCTGGCTTAATGTAATATTTCAATTTATTAACAAAAAAATTCTCCATGACCATTACTCGCAACTGCATCTATTCAATGCGACCCTTGTTAAATCTATAATACTCTTTATTAATAACACTACCCCAAAACCCTAACGTAAACATGAAAAAAAAGACCACAAAAAAGGCCCCAAAACTTAAGTAATTTTATAATAAAATACGGCGTAAGCCGATTTCAGCATAAGCTGCCACAATTATTAATAAAAAATCTTGTTTTATACAATAGAGTCCTCGCTACGCTTCGGACAATAAAAACAAAAAATTAAAATTATATTCTATTGTTCTATTTCACTGAATATAATCCCGCGTTCTGCCATAATTCCTTTATACCCGTATATAAACTAAAAGGTTAAACAGTATATCTCTGATTTAATCCGATCTACGCCTTTCTATCTCATTTATGATACTTTTCCAGCTTAATAAAACAAATGATATTAATATGCACAAACCACCAACGATTGTATTTGCACTTAACGGGGATTTAATTACCAGCGCATCTACAAATGCTACTATAGGAATAGTCAGCATTAACCCAACAGAGGCAAAGACAGGTGATGTTAAAGCAATTACTAACATAAAACATGCATTGAAAATAACTCCGAATGAAGCCATGAATAGAATATAACCAAAAGTCTTCATATCTGGAAGACAAAACTCTTCTATTCCCATATAGTGTAATATGGGAATGGGCACCCATAGAAAAATTAAGGTGAATACACCAATTAAACCTGTGATAGTGTTTGAAAATGCAATCGAAGGAATTGGTGGACTTCCATACTTCTTATATAGCACCTCATATAACCCATAAGTGACTGCTCCAAACAAAGCAATTAAATCTCCTGTAAAAATGATGCCATTGCCACCTATCTCAGAGTCCCCCCATCCCGGCGTTTGATCCTTTTGATTCATCGTCATGATTATAACACCTGCGATGCTTAAAAATACGGAGCCAACTTTTTCTATTTTTATTGATTCACCCAGTAAAAATACTGAGAAAATATATGCCCAAAAACAGCTAGTGTTGTATATTGCCGTTAGATTAGCCATGGTAGTATAGTTTATAGCTACATACCAACTATATGCTGCAACGCAAAGGGCAACTGCAAGGAAAGAGGAGATTTTGAAAAGGTACGCGAAGAAATACTTGTGAGGTACAGATAAAAATACTTGTACAACGCCGTCTTCTTCGTTTTCTGTATTTATGTAATTTATTTGACGTATTGGTCTGACTTTACTAACTAGTTCACTGCCAATTCCAATAAATTCTGCCATGTATTCCTGAAAATTCGGTCGAAACGCAAATTGAAATGGTATCACTATCATCCAGCAGCTGTGTACAACCCACCTGATTTGAAAATATTTGATTTAAAATATTAATTAGATCAAATAATTAAGAATTTGATTTTTATGTAACTTACATTATAAAGTATGGTTTATAAAACTTCTTCTCAGTTTGTATTGATTGCGCCAGTTCCTGTTCATTATGTCAAAAAATTGCATTAAATGTAATTCTCGAGTACATTAGTTAGACTTCACAACTGAACAACGTACTGTCTGTATAACATATGCTGCAATGCAAACGCAAAGGATTCCAAGCCCTAGAGTGTTGTAAATTTTTCGACCAGAGATATTTGTAACATTCTCTCTAATCGGTAAAAGCGGTGAACTTTCCATTTTACTGTATTAAGAAAGCCACCAAAAAAATGGCCTTAGGAATCTTGCTGGCCTGATTTGTGTATAAATATAATTAAAAAACGATTAATTTAAAAGCTGATAACACGGCTGTTTATAAATACGCGACGATTTGTTACACATGATGCAGCGCGAAGATCGTCGTTATTTCGCTCTAAAAGATTGCTAAGATCAGTACGGGTGACAGGATCAATATGGTACAAGCCGAAAAGAATCATACCTACTGATCAGCTATAATTCCTTATGGTACGATTTTAGTTGCTGGTGAAACTCTTGGTGAATGGTGGTGATTAATATAACACAGTCAATCAGATTTTAGATCAGCGTTGCGCTAAAATGTTTCATATGCTTATTACATTATCATGTCAAAAGTTATTACCTCATTTCGGTAATCGAAGGAGAAAATGTACTATTTACAAATATGTAGTAATCGATTCTCTTACTTCATAGTATCGTTCTCTGGAAGAGGGTAATAAATACCCGTTATGCTACGTCCAAAGCCAATTTTGGGCGTAACACCAGTTTCACCAACGTCATTTGTAAACTGTCCAACCTAAAAAATTTAACTGGCCAATCAGATTTCAAGATCTGGTGTGACGCAGAAGAAACGCAAAATCAAAACAAACCAAAAAATCGCTTATTTTTATCTATGAAACCACCTTCTGCGCACTAACAAAAACTTTTTCTTGCGAAATTTCATAGCAAAACCTAACAGCGAAATTTTTTTAGCGAGATTTTTTTTAGTAACGCTAGATCAGTCCAGCATCTATAATCCGGTCACATATGATAGTCTATTTAATTTTACATTATTTATACAGTTTAAACCAAAATTGACTAAATAAAAAAAAAATAAAAATTAAAGTACGTACGTACCTCCCTTTTTGTGTACCCCCACTCAAAATACCCGGGCACTTTATAAGTTTTTTTTTGGTTAGATTGTATTGGATCCCGGGTACTTTGGTCAGTGCACTACGGTACTTTTTAAGAAGTATATAGAAAATTTTAATAGGTTGTAGACTCCGCTATTAAAAATAATCAAAATCCCTTTTGTTTTAGAGAAGTTAGCATGGTAATAACGATAACCTAATTTTATCTATCTTTAAGAAGTCGCCAAAAATGGTTTTGATTATTTTAATGATGGAGTCCTACAACCCTATAAAACTTTTTATATACTTCTTTTTTGTTCATATTTTGATTTTTTTTTTAAAAAGTACTTTAAAACTGTATAAATAATGTAAAATTAAATATTAAGACTTAAATAGCCAATCATACGAAAGTCTTCCTATGGGTACCGGCGATCTTTTTACTAAACGGAATTTAGGATCTATAGCCGGGAGGTAGTAACGATAGTTACAATCAGTTATGATGTAAGAAAGTGTTAAATTTTGAACAAACGGAAAATTTCCGAATATCAAAAAACTGCGCCGGAATTTTTCTTAATTTACCGGTTCGAGGTCCAGGAGAGACCGTCCCAAATAAGGGGGACGTCTAAAGCGGAGGCAACTTATATTTAATAATTTTTTCGATTAATTTAGGGTTAGGGTCTTCTATATTG